AAGATGGGGTCTCTCCATGGCTTGCCAATGAAGAATTTTCCCCACAGCCTGTTCTCCAGCAGCCTTGTTTTCATTTCCTTCAGGGCAGGATGGGTCTGTGTGGAAGCAAAACCAACACCATTCAGAGGCAGAAGAACAATTCAATATATAGGATGAAACCTCAGATACACCTGAGAAAGAAGCTTCCTCCACCTGCCCCACCGGTAAGGAATCTTCTCCAAGGCCAGTAGGCCAGACATAGGGAAACTTCTAGATGTTGTGGGACTCTAATTCCCATTAGCCCCTGCCAGTAGGGGACCTTTCATGGCCTGGCCCTGAGTGTAAGGGCTGGGAATCCCTTCTCCAGTTCTCATGGCAAAAGGGAGGAACCTCAGGAGTATCCCCTTCAAAATTATCTATGTATTAATTCTAAAATTGGTAAATAAAAATTAAAAAGTGTATAAATGGCTTCTGAAAGTAGATGCAGAAGCTGAGCCTATAAAAGAGTACAGGATGAGTCCAAAATTTGGGGATAATTTTCATGGAGGGAAAAATGGGGGGGGGGGGGAATGTGCAGTGATTTAAAGAAAACCTGTATAAGATGATGTATAGATTGGATCTAACTCCAAATAAGTTGTTGAAAATGTCCCAGAATGTTTAAAGCCAAGATTGGGAAAGTCAAGATAAGGAGAGCTCCTTTTTTTCATATGTGGTAGACTTGTAAAAAGGCAAAAAGTGACTGGTCCAAGACTTATATGTTAATCCCAAAAATTTTAAAAGTAGATTTTGTAATGTTACCAGAAATATTTTTGTTGAATATTATGAATAAAGAACTGGAGAGTAAATCTGGATCACTTCTTCGATATATAACAGCAGCAGGAAGAATATTTTTTGCTCAAATTTGGAAATGGACTGAAGCATCAATGATGGAAGAATAGATTATTAAGGTCACTGTGGGGCCATACAGACAACCCCTAAGGGGTAGCGTCCCGCTGTCCCTTTCCTTGACGGATTGGGGCTGTGGCAACGGCATGCTGCGGCCCTGATCCGACACTTTGCCACTCCAAAAAGAGCTGGCAAATGAGCGGCAAAAAGCTGCCCTTGCCACCATAGCAGTGGCATTTCCATGCTCCATTGTCTGAACGCTGCACCAAGGGAGTGCCCTGACATTGCCCGC